CTTATGGGCGATTGCCCGTTGTTGTTCCTTCTCCGGACTCGGAGCTTCCGATTAGACGGTTGGTTCGTTGAGGTCATCCACGTCGGCTCCTCCTCCTTTCTTCCGTATGCTGCCAACGCAATGGCGATGCCCGTGCGTGCGTGATTCCGGTGAGTGGGCAGCAAGCCGCTGGCGCCAGCAGCCGCACCCATCATCGATCAACCCATGCGTACTGGCTATTGCGCCGTTGCGCGTGCCCTCGCGTGGTGCCAGTGGTGCACTGGTGCGTGTGGCTGCGCGCGGCGCGGTGCTAAGCATCACATCTACGCCGCTCGCGCGCGCAGCCGCGCGCCGGAATTGGAACCTGTTGTATCGCTGCACCTGAAAACGACGCCTGGGCGAGACGGCTTCTCCAGGCCGTCGATTTCCCGGCGCCTGGGGCTGGATCCCGACCTGCCTGGGGTGGGGCTCCCCAGGCGAGGCCGCGATCAAACAGGCGTCGTCCATTGTCGAAGCGGCGCCAGAACGCGCCCGCTGCCAGGCATGATCGGTGATCCCCGGATTGGTTGACTTTCTGCTTCTGGCCAGGGCCAGGGGATGGTCCGAGATCGGATCGTGCCGGGCTGCCAGAAACCACAGCAGTTCCTTGTTCGTGGACGTGTACGTTTGCGTTTCGCTTTCTTCGAGAACGTGCCGTACACCACGATGCCGTACCATGCGTCCTCTGTTTCGGCCCGATCGATTGGCCGCCGCATGCAGGATACAGCGTCTCAGTCAAACAGGAGAGAGCCGGCCGGCCGAAGCATGCACCAGCGAGCTCCGCCGGTGATCGCACCGCCAGCGAACGGACCGCGCGCGAGACCATATACGGCGCGCAGGGCACTACCACGCACTATTTCAGGGCAGCGGGTTCAAAGTACCAAACCAACGAGCATTCGTTTGGCGCTGTTTCTCGTAAACGATGTCGTAGAATTCGCCGAAAAATATTTTCCTCTCGCTGGCAAGCGAAGTAGGTGATGCGTCTTAACCGTGGCCAGAGTAGGCCGAGAGCGAAATTTGTCTCGCCAGCAGCCTGGCCGTTTACTGCGCAACGCCGTGCCGATAGATCCCAGCCGCGCGGCGGCTGACTTCCGTGGCCCCTTTTGGTCGCCGCGCACTCGCTCGCCGCACGGCACCGCCGCCGTGCTGGGCGCTGCTGGGCGGATCACACACACATCGTCATCGTCCTCCGCCTCCGCGAAAGCTTTTTTCGTCGTCCTCTCGGTCACTCCGCGGACACAACAACGAGTACAGGTGAGGGCCGGGGGCGAAGCGAGGCAAAATCTTACCAGGCCTAGCCAAAAGGGACAAAGCCAAGCAAGATCGTCACCCGTGCTATAGCTTTCGTCTACGGAAAAAAATTACATGCAGCCTGGCTGCACCGAGAGAGTCTGCACGGGACTTCGGTACAGGGCTGGCTGCGTGCAATTTTTTCCTTCATCTACATGCTCGCTCCTCCATTTCCGACCAGACTAACACGATTCACCGGCCGTAGAAAAAAAGAAGCATCAATGCGCCCTGGCAGCTGGCCCCATACGCGCGCCCATAGGCGCAACAATGTGCGGCCACCGAGCACGTCACATGCTTTATGACAACGATCTTCCAAGCCCGGTGGGACATTGGGATTTAGGGCAAATGTATCCCCGCAGTCTCTGGCTCTGCGATTTCATATGAGTGCAATGTGATCTCAAGATAGCTTAACGAGACAATTTGTACAATATTTCTTTTAACTTGTTTACGTAGCAGCTCTATATCAAGCATATAATAAGCGGGTGTTGTGAGATTATATTATATAGCAACAACTCTACAGTGATGAAATAATTGTTCCATAGTTCTAAAATCCACGGAGCAATGGTATTTTCTCTCACCTATTTCTCTTCCTTGTTAAAAACCATAAATGTACGAGATGATAATTAATGTCGCCGACGTGTGCCAATGTACTTGCCACCTGTTTTGTAAAACACATGCATTCAGTGCAAATTAAATGGCGTATGCCAATGCACGTTATTGTGAACATTCTATGGTCCAAATGAGGCCGTGTTCTTACTATGGGAGGTCTATGTCTACCTGTCCATCCCTGTCAATTAATAGCAAACACTAATTCACACAGATTTGCGCAGTGCGGCGCTCAATGCTAAAGTAGTAGTACTAGTAGTAAAGTCTCTGGCGAATCCGTCGGTCAGCCATTGACTCGTCCACAGCAGAAGGTCCGCTCGCACGTTTCCTGCCACAGTGTGGCCTGGCCTGCCATAGCCGATTGGCGATTAACCAGAGAGAGATCGAGCCGGAGACTGGAGACCACTGTGGTTCGGGGGAAGGGGCCACCCTTGCTCCGATCCGATGCGATCCTACCAAAAACACTACCGCTTTCAGCTCTCTTCGTTTACCAGATCACAGCACGCACCGAGCAACCAAGTTAGGCAGGAGGTGAGGATCCCAAAATCACAAGCACGCACCCGACTCAGAGCCACCCCCAGGTGGCCTCCAGCAAACCAAACCACCAACCGTGTGGGCCCCCACTCCCCTTATCCTTCTTCTATATCCCCTCCGTTCACTCTCCCCCTTTATATCCCCACGCTTGCTCTCTGCACTCCCTCCTCAGCAAGCCTGCTTGCTTCGAGGAGCCAGCCTAGCTGTCTGTCCGTGTAGCTATCTATCCAACTATCCCTCGAGGCCCGGAACGCGAGGAGGACGAAGAGCAGAGCACAGCCACAATGCCGTCGTCAGGGATCACCGCGGTGGACGCAGCCGCCAAGGGGATGAAGCTGGAAGCGGTACGCCAGCGGGGCGCGCTGCTGCTGCGCCGGGCGACCAGCGCCAAGCTCGTGTCCGCGTCGTCGCACCTGCTCTTCCGCGCCACCGTGCTGGCCCGCGCTCGCGCTCGTCTTCCTCTTCACGCTGCACTACCCGTCCCTCCTCTCGCGGTCCTTCCACACCTCTCCGCCGGCAGCAGCGACAGCTCAGCAGGCAGCGCGCACTCCTCCTCCGCCTCTCACCGCAGCCTGCTCATGTCCTCGGCGTCGTACAGGGGCGCCGTGTGGGAAGAAGGAGGTACGGCGGAGCGCCAGGCCGAGCCGGGACGGAGCATCTCCGTGCTGGTCACCGGAGCCGCGGGCTTCGTGGGCACGCACTGCTCGCTCGCGCTCAAGGCCCGCGGCGACGCGTGCTCGGCCTCGACAACTTCCAGCTCCTACTACGACCCGTCGCTGAAGCGCGCGCGGCAGGCGCTGCTGGCCAGCCAGGGGCGTCGTCGTGCTCGACGCCGACATCAACGACGGCCTGCTGCTGGAGAAGCTCTTCGACGTCGCGGCGTTCACGCACGTGCTGCACCTGGCCGCGCAGGCCGGGGTGCGGTACGCGATGGAGAGCGCCGCAGACGTACGTCGCGTCCAACGTGGCCGGGCTCGTCAGCGTCTTCGAGTGGCGGCCAAGCACGCCGACCCGCAGCCGGCCATCGTCTGGGCCTCCTCCTCCTCGGTGTACGGGCTCGCACCGACGCGCCCTTCTCCGAGGACCACCGCACCGACCGCCCGGCGTCGCTGTACGCGGCGACCAAGAAGGCCAGCGAGGCCATCGCGCACACCTACAGCAACCACATCTACGGGCTCTCCATCACGGCCTCCGCTTCTTCACCGTCTACGGTCCCTGGGGTCGCCCCGACATGGCCTTCTTCTTCTTTGCCCGCAACATCGTCGCCGGCAGAGCCCATCACGCTGTTCCGCGCCGCCGACGGCTCCGACGCGCGCGCGACTTCACCTACATTGACGACGTCGTCAAGGGCTGCCTCAGCGCGCTCGACACCGCGGGCAAGAGCACCGGCTCCAGGTCCGGCAGAAGAGGTCCCGCGCCTCTCGCGTCTACAACCTCAGCAACACCTCCCCGTGCCCGTCACCCGGATGGTCGCCATCCTCGAGAAGCTGCTCGGCAAGAAGGCCAACAAGCGCATCGTCACCATGCCCAGCAACGGCGACGTGCCCTTCACCCACGCCAACGTCAGCCACGCCGCGCACGACTTCGGCTACCGCCCCACCACCTCCCTCGAGGCCAGCCTCCGGCACGCCGTCGACTGGTTCGTCAACTACTACAAGCTCGACACCAAGATAGCCAAGGGCGCCCGCAGCACCGCCGCCGACAAGCCCGCGAAGAAGAAGAAGGGCGCGGCAGCCATGTCCAGCGTCGTCGTGATCGATCAAGCACAGTACAGCACACAGAAACAGAGCACCACCACCGCCAAGCACAGTCACCAAGTGTATTTCTCTAGCTAGTTCTCAGGAGGCTTTTGTCTGTAACCATGTATTGTTCCAGCCCTTGCTACTTGCTGCTGCCTTCTAATCCTCCTTATGCTGATAGTGCTTAGTAGGAATAATGATGCAAATAACTGTTGCATTCATATTGGTAGATAAAAGATTGGGAGAGGTATAGATGATGATAAGATCAAACAGAGGCCAGGACAGATGAAAGATGAAGTCACTGGCTCCTATCAATCAAAATTGTTCTCTTGCACAAATGTCACCTGTTTTGTTCTTGTTCACCATCCCGTGATCTGAAACCACGTACGTCAAGATTCTATACTAAGAATGGGTGGACGCAAAAAGCAAAATCATGCACCACAAGCTACGATACCTTCAGCTCTACTTGTACGCTGCATTTCAGGATTAGGAATCCTTCCCCATTCAAAGCCAATATCCAAACAAACTTGCATGTTTCGGGTCATGCCACTTCATTCGGTCCGGTTCTTCGACAGGGGACCCTTGCTACTTGTGCACTCACAAATCACAACGCAGCGTGTGTTCATGTGGCTGTGCTTCGAGCAGCGCTGCACTGGGTCTGCCTGTGTGAAGTAATGAAGCTGGTTGGTGAAGGGTTCAGAGCATGGTCAATCCACTGCTCCTTTTAGCATCTTTAATGGGGCGGCATGGGCGCATTGGTACAAATTGCTGCTCTGCCGGTCCTTTCAGAAGGGCGAGTAGCATATCCTGCTGGCGCTGCCAGCCAGTCCGCTTCTTCGAGACTTTCAGTGGCGAGGTAGAAGTGCCTGCCAGTTGGGATGCTAGTATTTTAGGCGCCAAATCGAATGTCGGCACCGTGTCACGAGGCTACTGTTGCGACCTGCGTGGTTGCATTGCATCGTTGCAGCACAAGGTTCAGCAACAATCCATCTACCTTCTCTTCTATCAGAGTTTACTGATACTCTGAAATGGCATTCGTTTTCTCCTCTTTTTTCCTGATGGTGAGTGGAAATCATTACACGATAGCGGAGAATTGATTGTGACACAGCAAAAGTGTGCAGTTGTGCATTTCTGCAGTAGTAGTGATATTTGGATCCTGTAAGCCAATTTATTCCCCGCTGCCAACATATCTGTGTGTCCATGCTGGCACCGTTCTGATCCATCCATCCATCATGCATCCAGAACAGGTTTGTCCACTCCTGCCTTCACACATCCGTCAGATTCAGTGAAGCAGCATTGTCTACGTGGAGTATGTACCTTTAGGCTTGTGCTACAGGACAAAAAGGAGAAAGAAACATATCATTTCGTACTGTACGCTGTACCCTGTCAAAATTGCTTCTGCTGCAGGCAAAAATCTGGCCTTGTAGCTCAGCTATAATAGTCATCCATGGTGGATTGGTGGTCTGGAATTTAGTTCATATATTGTTCGCTGAATTGGACAGTCAATTCTGATTGGCATTTCAGACCACATTTTCTTTTGGGAAAAAAAACGCGGCATTTTCAGTGCACATCATGAACCAAAACCATGGACCAATGATATATGAGGGAAATAAATTCGTTGTCGGTATCTAGACGGTTCTTGAATCGAACAGGACTCGTAGGCCCAGAGAGAATCTGATAAATTATGAAAGCAACAAAATCTTTTAGGTACAGTACCAGTACGTGCCGTCTCTAATTCCCTAAGGCATATTTCCCCTCGTATACACAAAGCTAAAATGCTGGGTATGTAGTGTGGTAATGAACGAGGTCTGTCTGCACAACAGCCTGAAGATCTTGTTCAGCATATAACAAAATCTTTTATGGGCAGAAAGGCACATTGGATCTGAGGTTAGGATCTTGGAAACGGCGTGGTGCGTTGTGCAGTGTACAATGGTCAAAGATCCTAGGCCGTGTTTAGTTAAGCCGATTGGTAAGCCAATGAAATCACTGTAAACTACAATATAGCTGCGATGACATTTTATTTTATTTGTTAATAATTGTCAATCGTTGACTAATTAGAAACTCAAAATATTAAATCGTAGCGTAAAGTCACTGGCCAAACTATGCAATTAGTTTTTGATTTCATCGACATTTAATCTTCATTGCATGTACTGTATGAGTTTGATGTGACGGGGAAATCTTCTTTTGCGATAGAGTGTCAAAGTTAAGAATTGATTGGAACTAAACATGGCCCTAGCTTGGCTCCCTTTTCTTGCTGTTGCTGCACCTGCACATTTCAGGTACTAGATTAGTTGCTAAGGCAGTTAAGCCACAACCACTAGTATAATCACATGGTTAAGAAACATGCTTTTGCGCAGATGCACTTGAGAACTAGTATGATGCCTTGAAGCAAGTGCTACAGGGTATAGTATTAGTGCTAGAGAGAAGTTTGGTCCCTCAACAACCTCTGGCTTGCCTTGGAATGGCGCTAGACCAGAAACTTTGACCTAATCTTGATATGGTCTGCGAGTTCATCACCACTTGCGAAAAAGTGACCGAGTCTCTCACTCAGTCACTCTCTCTCATGCTCTAGGTAGTTGTATACTAATGTTTAGTGTATACTGATCCAACTGCATGGCTTGGTGCTCACCGTAAACATGGCTGTTCCTATCATTCTGGCTCGCCTCCATTACGCTTACGCGCTACTCGTCCCGGCGTTGTGCGGGCCTCATGAGAGCCCGGCGTGTCTGCACATCCAGCAGCAGGAATGCAGTTGGGGATGGCGAGATGTTGCTGACTGCCAGACCCACTAACCAAAGCAAAGCATGTTGGCAACTTAAATCTGACGACGTGAGGTGAGCTCACCTGGTCGAGGAATCAAGCAGATAGATGATGCTGATTTATCCGATACAGTATATCCCAGGTCGCTAATATCAACGACAGGTCGCCTCCTTGCATAGGCAGAATTGCCAAGCGTAACGGCCGAAATGTCAAAGAAATAAGACCCACCATTTGGACTGTGACTCGAAATATCAAAGAAATAGTAAGATTTTGTATTTGCACAAGTGGCAGTGGTTGGAACTTGGAAGCATTTGGTGCTTGCTTTATGCAGCATGTCAACGTACTCCTTTTCTTTTTATATTGCCTCTCATTTGGTTTTGCGCCAATAAGTTTTGCGTCACTGGGCAACGGGTTCAGCTCTTACTACTTTCCATGGTTTTAGAAAATGAAATCCCCTTTCTTAAAGGGGCTTGTATACAGGTATGTAGAGGCACAGTGGTTAAGTCAAAACTATGTCAGACTTCGAATTTCAACGTCGAATGACAAACAGACGATTTCTCTCTTTCTCTAACAGTTATAGTTGGATGGCTTAAGTTTTCTTTTGAGGGTGGATTAAAAAATTAAAGGAGCAAAAAAAAAAAAGAAAAAAGAAAAGAAAGAAGAATATTTGGTACCTGAACGCTGATGACTGTTTGTCAAGGAACATAGTCAGGTCAGGTCTAGGCGTCTAGCGGCAAGGTCGCCGGTGGACTACTGCGAGGACGCTGGTCATCATCGCCGTCAGTTGTCGAGGCTATGCCGGCGGCCACTGCGGACAGGTGGGCGGCCGAGGCCTGGTCCCTTCTGCCCGGAGGCAGAGTTTCACCAGGCATTGGTCGGCCGCCTAGCAGCGCCGGAATCGAGTCTCCTGTTCCACAACTCCACCGCCCAGCCCATGCCTCGTTTTCTCCTTTTTCTCCCCGCGCCGGCTTTCAGATCCGACATCTCCTCGCCGCCGCCGCTGTGCTATACTATACATAAGATAAGGGGCTCCGTGAACACAAATAACTCCACAGGGTTTTTTCCAAAGTTCCTTCCTCCTGGCGTGCCTCGTGTACCGAACACCCCGGGCGACGCGATTTTGCACAAAAACTCGAGAACGAACCGATGAAGAAATCTCCAGGCATGTGGCGGATGCCGTGCGGCCAATGAACCTTTTTCAGCAAACGATCCATGTCGCCGGCGATGAGATGAACTGACCCACGCACGTCTCCTGGCTCGGCCCTTAAGGCCAGTAGTGGACACCGAGGCCCAGCTTGACCCGAGGGGGAACCCCGAATTGGGCACCAGGAAGCCGGCCCATCTGGATAGTCGTCTGTGACTATTCCATGTATCGTCGTGTGGGTTTTTATTTTTACGGATTGACTACCACCCGACGTTCGGCCGTCGCTGCTCCGCCCAGTCTACTTGAATTCGCGTGCCACCCATACCAGCTCCATTTTCCTTGCTGGCATCCGAACCGTCCACTCTAGATCCGCTTGTCCACGCTGCTCGGATGACTCGCTTCGCCTCTTCCACACCGGCCAGCCGTGACATCTCTTCCAAGCAACTGAAAGACTCGTCCGCCTCTTCCACAATAGCACTGTGTGGCTCGTGCCTCCTCCCCACACACCCCGGTGGCGGCCTCGCCTCCCTCCGCGTGTCGGTGGTCAAGGGCTTGGCCCTACCGCCCTCATGGACACCAAAAGACGGTGGCCGCACTTGCAACATGAAACACTCGAATGTAACAATACATTTGAAATAAATGAAACATTTGGAACATACGTTTGCAATATATGTGTGAAAACATATGCAACATCCAGATAAAACAATTACAACATGAAAACACACTTACTGCAGCATAACACTGAAACAGTTGAAATATTTGGGACATACTGTTGCAACATATGTGTGAAAACATATGCAACATCCAGATAAAAACGATTGCAACATACGTCTGGAAACAGATAAAATATTTTAAACGAACGCTTACAACATGCTTCTGAAACACTTGAAACAAACACTTGCAATATACGCAACATGTGCAACATCCCCCCGATCTACTTTTACATAAGAAACAACAGCAACATACCTTTGAAACGACTGAAACACCTGAAACATACATTTACATTATAGGGGAGGGAAAAGCCTAGGCCGGTCGATTCTAGCCGTCGGAGTCGGGAGCCGACGGCGAGTGGCGGCGCACAAGCACCACCGCCATGTTTGTGGTCTTTAACTCCTATTTCTAACTACCAATTGTCACATAAAATCTGCACAAATGGTCACCAAACTTAGAATTAGGGTTTATAACTAACGAA